GGGTGGGACCAGACTTTTGTATGTGTGTTTCTTCCTTTATTTGTCTACTAAGGTTAATAAATGCTTTAAAAAAAAAAAAAAAAGGATATGGTCTCCCTCTGTCACCCAGGCAAGCAATCCTCCTGCCTCAGCCTCCCAAAGCAGTGGGATTGCAGTCACGAGACCCTGTGCTGGTTCATTTAAAAAATATTTTTTAGGGCTGGGCACAGTGGCTCATGCCTGTAATGTCAGCACTTTGGGAGGCCGAGGCAGGTGGATCATGAGGTCAGGAGTTCAAGACCAGCCTGGCCAATATGGTGAAACCCCATCTCTACTAAAAAAAAAAAACATAGCTGGGCATGGTGGTGGGCACCTGTAGTCCCAGCTAAGCAGGAGGCTGCGGCAGAGAATGGCTTGAACCTGGGAGGTGGAGGTTGCAGTGAGCGGAGATTGCACCACTGCACTCCAGTCTTGGTGACACAGAGAGTGTCTGTCTCGAAAATAAAAGGCTGTACTTGAACTCCTAGCCTCGAGTGATTTTCCCTCCTTGGTCTCCCAAAGCATTGGGATTACAGGCGTGGACCATCACACCCGGCCGAGAAGTGCCTTTTATGTCTCAGGCACTGTTCTTGGTGCTGGGGAACAAGATAGACAAAATCCTCACTCTCATAGAGCTTAATTCTAGTGCTAGAGAAAGTTGAGAAGTGATTAAACAGAAAATGTTATGTTGGGCCATGATAACTTCTATAGGAAGAAAAGGGAGAGTCAGGGACAGAGGAAGGGAAGTGATGAAGGAGCCCTGTGGATTTCTGAGAGAAGAGCCTTCCAGACAGCGGGCAGGTAGAGGGCCCAGGACAAAGGCTGGGAATTGCTGACGGAGGAGAAAGAGGTGTCGCAGAGGGAGGGAGGGCAAGTGTTGGGGAATGAGATGAGGGAAAGCAGCCCTGGCCAGACCCAAACCTTACTTTTTGTAGTAGATCTTCAGTAAGGCCCCTTTCACTCTTCTGTAGTGAAATTTGTAGAAAATATAACCAATCTACCCACATCAGGAAAAACCGTCCATACGATGCCTTCACCATAATATACAGGAAGTACGAGAGGGGCGCAGTGTATCATGAACTAAGAAGCATTTCATGACTACCCTGGAAGACATAATGGTGTGGTCATATGTTTTGCACCCCCTTGTTGGATCACTGCAAACGTGGCAGCTGTAAATCCAGACGGCTGCAGATGTGTTATATTGGCCACTCAAATGACATAATCGGTGTTGACTTTAGTGATGTGATATTTCTCAAATGGCAAATACGTGTTAGTAAAGTTCTAAACAAAACAAAGTACATCATTCCCTATTGAAATCCAGCATTTATGAAAATCATGGAGGAAACCCTTGTGTTGACAGGTAAAATGGCGTAGGCTTTTCATCCCTTCTGGGTGAGGCGGGAAGGTTCTGGGGGACATAGAACATGTGTGGCGTGTGCTAGACTATCCCATGTACTGCAGGGTATCCAGCCTGACTGGCCCCTACCCCCTAAATGTCACTGATGACTCCCAATTGTCCTGTGACTACGAGAACAGCCCCCATGGATTTCCAGAATACCTTTTCAAGGGTTTTGGGGCCTGGCATGGTGGCTTATGCCTATAATCCAAGCACTTTGGAGGCCAAGGCGGGTGGATCACCTGAGGTCAGTAGTTCAAGACCAGCCTGACCAACATGGCAAAACCCCGTCTTTTTTTTTTAAAAAAAAGAAAGGGTTTGGGTTTTGTTTGCATGTAATGAGAAGCCAGCTGACAGTTTAGAGCAGGGAAGTGAAGTGATTTAACCAAAGCTTTAAAGGGATCTGCCATCCATAAAAAGAATGAAGGGGAGGCTGAGGTTTCTGTGTCATTTAGCAAGGACTCAGCCCCCAGAGTGAGCTGCAGAGGTACCAGTCTGACCTCAGGCTTCTCTGTCTCAAGCTTAGACTCACCCAGAAATCTGTCTTTCTGCCCCAGAGCCACCTAGATCACCCATCAGAGGCCTCCCTCTAATGAGTAGAGTTGGAGTACCCTGTGTGTCCTTTGTGCCTTAAATCCTTGACAAGAACAGGTGTTGGCTTTGACCTCAAGCAGGTTTCCACCATCCCTCCCTTCCCTCTGCACATACATTCTCAGCTCCTTTCTCCCTTTCCTGCAATAAATAACAGATTCTTGCTGAGCGGTTAGAAGTTTAGAAGTTAAGCCTCAGACGGTCAGATGTGGCTCACGCTTGTAATCCCGGCACTTTGGGAGGCCAAGGTGGGTGGATCACGAGGTCAGGAGTTTGAGACCAGCCTGGCCAATATGATGCAACCTTGTCTCTACTAAAAACACAAAAATTAGCTGGGTGTGGCCCCAGCTACTTGGGAGGCTGAGGCAGGAGAATCGCTTGAACCTAGGAGGTGGAGGTTGCACTGAGCTGAGATCATACCACTGTACTCCAGCCTGGGTGACAGAGCAAGACTCCATCTCAAAAAAAAAAAAGCCTCACACTAGGGTTATTTTTCCAGGCGACCTTCCTAAGGTAACTCCTACCCTGTGGGCACCCCAGTGGATCTGCTGCAGTCTGTGCCAGGATTCACTTGGCCTGCAAGGGTTGGCTATGGCAGAAGCCTTTCCTGTAACTGGAATCTCCCATGCCTGGCCTTCCAGACAGCAGAGAAAGAATTGGATAAACTCTAAACTGGAAATTACAAACAATAAACTACTCTCAGTTTTCATATGAAACTACTTAAGCAAGTCTTTTTTTTCTTTTTTGACAACAGTGAAGCTCATTATTCGCGACATTCAGGGACACTCAAAATGTGCTTAAGAAAAGGGTCAAGGCTATGAAATATTTAGCACCAGAATGGAAACACCCATTCCAAGTTCTTTTCCATCTTTTGGCCACCAAGGTGTTTAGGGGTCTCTACTAAAAATTCAAAAATTAGTTAGGCATGGTGGTGGGCACCTGTAATCCCAGCTACTCGGGAGGCTGAGGTGCAGGAGAATCGCTTGAACCCAAGAGGCAGAGGTTGCAGTGAGCCGAGATTGTGCCACTGCACTCCAGCCTGGGTGACAGAGCATGACTCTGTCTCAAATTAAAAAAAAAAAAAGCTTGACTCCCATGGTAGATGAATCTAATTAAGGGTTACCAGCAAATCTCAGAAATTAGTATAGGGAATCACTGTAGAGGCATGTAGGAGCCATCCAAATTTGGCCAACTCAGAGGATAGAGAAAAAATATCTTTCCCTCCTTCCTAATCTCGAGGGAGATTGAAAAGAAGAAGATTTAAAGCCTCAAGAATGAGGATTGAGGAAGTAGAATGTCAAAACGGCTCCCTAGGTCCCTTGTTGGAAAAAGAAAGAAGTCCAGAGACTTTCCAAACGTGGTTTTCCCATCCTTTTTGAGGAACATGTGTTTATTCTTTTGTGAAGAATACCATCTCAGTAGTCTTATCCTGTTTGCTTATTTCCCTCTTTAATATTAATTTGATCTGAGATACTTGTAAAGACCAAGCAACAAAAAGATCTCACGCCACCTTCATTTGCCACTATCACCTGCGAAGTTCAGACAACGCCGTGTAGTCAGAGCGTTGGGAAGGAGGAGTTGGGTGCAAGGCTTTGTGAGGGGTGGGTGGTCAGGAGTGTAGCCACAGCCTTTGATCATAAACCATGGCTGGTTAGGGCTGGGAGGAACCTCAAAGTCGCTGGGTTCAACTCTCTCATTTTATAGATACGAAAAATGAGGTCTAAAGAGTTCAAGAGACTGCCAAGGGTTGGACAGCTAATCGGCCAACCTAGCAATCGAAGGACAGATTTGCGTATTTTTTTTAAAGCGTCGGCTTTTAAGTTCTTTATCATTGTCAGTTTACTTTGGTTTGCCTTTAACCTTCACCACCCCAGCTGGTAAGTGTAAATTGTCATTGTTAATGTGCTTTTTCCTTGAACTGCTTGTGAAGGACTCTCTTTCAAAGGAGCCGGTAGAAGGGAGGAGAGTTGGTGGCGTATTGCATATCTCTGCACTGAGATTCAATCCAGAACGGCCTTGGGAGTTCCTCGTCGGCTAACACAAGGCAAAGCCCCAGCTCTGACCTGAAAGTTTGTATGATGCATTTTCCATGTGTATTGGTTGATTGGTTTTGCTGGAAGATCTAACCAAGAGAAAGCTTTCCGACCTTGGCGTTAGCCCCACTCATGAGTCCACTGTATACTTTCTACATTGTGTCTATAAAATTTTTCACTTAAAAACTCTTGTTTTATAGAAAATGAACTTGATTATATATATATATAAAATCATGAAAATCCTGCTTCATTATCAAATCTTCCTAAAAGGTTAAAAATCTTTTTTTTTCCAGTCTCTGTCTTTGCTGCTATTTTAGACTGGGTTGTAAACAAGCTATAATGTGAACGCACTACTAGGAGACAGACTTCTGTACAACAGAAGCAGCCTCAGAAATAGAAATTGAATTTATAGGCAATGAGATAGGGTAATTAGTTTTTATATTTAAAAATATCCTCAGACCAGAGGAGTCTGCTGTCTCATAGAGAATGGAATTGAGTTTGAATCCTAATACCTCAAGTAATTTAGTAGAAGCTGCCTGTTTTGTATAAAATATATACAGCAGCCTGCTGTGTATTTCTGGATGTATCTCTCTATTCCTTCCTAAACACATGAGTTAAAGTGTCCGTCTAAGTCTGAAGATTCAGATTGCACAAATCATTTGTACTTTTAATTCTCAGCCTTAAATGTTGCTAATACAGCTAATGATAAGCTGATTAGCCAACTGTCTCCCTGTTTTCTTTGAATGGTTATTAGGAGTTCAAAAATCAAACAAACAAAAAACGTTTGCTTTTTTATATAGAAAGCAAGAATTGTCTCTGATATTTACCCAAAGTTTTATGTTTTTTATCCAACCATGATTTGCTATAGAATGTACAGTTTAAAATGCCACATGTAGGTTAAACAATAAAAGACATGAGAACATTAGGTGTGCTATTGTTAAATAAGTGTAAATTAAACATACCTCCTGGAATGGCCAGTGTCTTAGCTGCCGATCCCTGTCACTCTGAATTGGCAGAAACCAGATCCTGGCTTGGGATCTGGAGCAGGTATTTTTTCCAGGGTTGCATCACAGCTCTTGGGAGGGCATCCTGTCTGAAATATGCTGTCTCCCCAGCCTGGGTCAGCGGGGACGGAGAGAAATAGCATCTGTCAACTGGGTTGAAGTCTCCCGCATGTGGAGTCAGTCACTGGTTCTTTGCCGAGGGTTCAGCTAATGAGACTCAATAGCTTGTGGCACTCTTGTTTCCACCAAGAAGAGCCTAAGAACAGGATGAGCTTGAAAACAAGAGGAAGTGGCGCTATGCTTCCCCATGACTTTAGTTTGCCTTTGAGCAAGGGGGAAGCAGAAGGAGGAACTTCACCGTACCTGCATAGTGGATCATACCGGGGGTTCGTCAACCCTGGGATCTCTGCCCCCTTTTCTGCCTTCTGTCATAAATCTCTGTCTCAAAGGAAAGAAAGGGGATGGTTGTTAAAGCATAAACCTCCAGGTCAGCTCTTGTTTCATCAAACTCCAAGATGATGTCCAAAACCTTTTGCTGAACTGAAATGCTAGCTTGGTTTGAAATAACTGAGCCATTCATTGCCCAGGGATAGAAAATCTTTCTGTTGTGGAGTTGGTTGGTTGTTTGGTGTGTGAGTGTGTTTGCAAATATAGAAAGTGGGATGGGGATTGGAATAGTGTTGGCCTAGTGGGTGCTGAACATTGAAAGCAGCAAAACTGGATGTACCTAAAAACTAAAGTTGAATAGGTGAGTTCATCCATCCTTTTAGAGGTATTTTCATTGAGATATAGTTTCTTTCAGTTGCTTGAAGTTTTCAGCATCAGATCAAGTTTTCTTTCTTGCTCTCCAGTACCTCTTTTGCTTGTTTGCCATCTGTTCATTTCCACTGCAAACTGCTCTTTACACAATGTTTCTTGGTGTTAATTAGAACACGCGTTTCTTTGTGATTCATCTGGAGAAGGGGTTAATGATGATTTATGTCCCTTTAATTGGTTTTCCTCCAAACTGTTAGGTTTATTATTTTATAAGAATTCCAAGAGACTAAGAAAGAGGAGGAGTGCCTAATTTTTATTCTTCATGGCTTTAAATGTATGGCTCTTTTGCTTTAAAAAGAAAAAAAAAGCAACCTTGGCCTACTTTGGTGTTTTAAAAATATGGTCCTTTGGCTGGGCATGGTGGCTCATGCTTGTAATCTTAGCACTTTGGGAGGCCAAGGTGGGCGGGTCACTTGAGACCAGGAGTTCGAGACTATTCTGGCCAACATGGGGAAACCCCATCTCTACTAAAAAATTCAAAAATTAGCCAGGTGTGGTGGCCACATGCCTATAGCTCCAGCTGCTCAGGAGGCTGAGGCATGAGAATTACTTGAACCCCAAGAAGCGGAAGTCACAGTGAGCTGAGATCGCACCACTGCACTCCAGCCTGGACAACAAAGCCAGACTCTGTTTCAAAAAGAAAAAAGTCCTTCAAGTACTCATTAAACAGTAATACATAAGAATATGTATTTACTGCTTATCAGTGAACAATTTATTAGTCACATTTGTTAACTTCTTTCTGAATAAGTAACACATTCTCATGGTTCAAAATTCAAAAGGTCCCAAAGGGTATGTGGTGATTTCTTTACTCCTAGTGTCCCCAGACTTCTGGGAAAAGGGTTTCCTTTCCACAGAATCTATGTTGTCAGGGTCTTGTGAGTGTATATATTTGTATTTATGTATACACGTGTCTATAGATGGGTATGTGCATATGTACATGTATATGTACTTACTTTCCCTCTTTTAATGCAGAGGGTGGCAAACATATATGCTATTCCACATATACCATTTAAATGCATTTTGGAATGTAGCGCCTATCAGTAGGTTAAGCGTTTCTTCTTTCTTTGTTAAGGCTACATTACATTAGGGTACGATGACTTCTTAACTACTTCCTCACTGATAGACATTTGGGCTATTTCTAGTTTTTCCTGGGATGAGCAGTGATGTAGTGAATAGTTCTGTATCACATTATGTTGTATATCTCTAGGAAAAAGATCCTAGAAATGGAATTGTTGCAGCTGAAAGTGAGTACATTTATCATTTCAATTGATTTTGTCAAATTGTCCTCCATAGACGTTAGCGGTTAACAGTTCTTCCAGCACTGTGAATCCTCATCAGCTTTCTTCATCCTTGTGAAAATAATAGGTGAAATAATGACCTCAGCTTATCATTTAATTTGCCCTTTCACTTATTTTGAGTGATGTTGAGTATAATTAACACTTTTAAGTAAAAGATAAAATTCCATAGTTAGATGTGTGTATATATACATATACATTTCAGAGGTGGAAACCTGTTTGTGCATTTTCCCCTCTACCCCCTCAAAACACTAGGAAATTATACTTAGTTTCTAGTAAATTAGGTAATTTCTATACTGATGTGTTATTAACAGTAAATACACTGCAAATGTTGGGAGATACCTCAGATTCTCCTTCATATGATTACCAAAAACATATTGCTGAAATCTAATTTCAACTGACATTATTTTTCAAAATAATACATTTCAAACTAATTGAATCAGGGTTTGATTTGTAAGGGAACATTACATGATAGCTTTCAAGATACAATATTTTAAGCCAATTAAACTCTGATGTATGTTCCTTTTTACCAAAAGCACACAGATTATGGAGGAATCACAGAATGACTGACACAATAAAAAAGCAAAGTTCTTTTAGATAAAAATGGCCACTTCCTCCTTGGTATTTTATTTGGGGTTGAGATTTAGATGAAAATCCCTTGTAGTGAATTTTAATAATTATTTCTTTAATATAATACAACCGAATTCATCCAGATGATCCCATGTCCCTCAGCAGAGAAAATTGAGGGGTCTGTTATTTGTGTTAGGTTTTGTTGTCTGTGTTTTTTGCTGGGTCTCACAAAAGTCTCACGAATCTCTGCAAGTGGGAAAATAAATTGCCCATTTCTTGGCACACTGAACTTTCTATTTTATATTTTAAAACCGAAGGCCCAGACTTTACATAGCTAATGACCAATGGGCCAAGCATGGTGGCTCACACCTATAATCTCAGCACTTTGGGAGGCCAAGGTGGGAGGATCAGTTGAGCCCAGGAGGTCCAGACCAGCCTGGGCAGCATAGCGAGACCCTATCTCTATAACACGACTTTAAAAAATAACTAAGCATGGTGGTGTGCACCTATAGTTGTAGCTACTTGGGAGGCTGATGCAGGAGGATCATTTGAGCAGGGAGTTTGAGGCTGCAGTGAGCTGTGATCACACCACTTCACTCCAGCCTGGGCAACAAAGAAAGACTCTGTCTTAAAAAAAAATGGGAAAAGAAAACAAGAAGACCGGATATTAGTAACATGGCTTGGGTACTGTTTCCCTCCCCTGTCAGTCTGTACCTATGTTTTCTTCAGGCCATAGAAAGAACGCTTCTTTGGCAAATATGAAATTTGAAAACTGACCATCTGCTGAATTATAATAGAGATTTCCCATTGGGATAAACCTATTTGTCATTGCCACAAAGTTTGTGAATAATATTTCTGTTGCTCAGTTGTGAAATCAGCGTACCTCCACAATGAAGTTGCCTTAAGTGTGCAATGGCAATTCTGAATTGTGAAAGTATTCCACACTGTCATGAAACAAATGTAAACCCTTGCTCAGATCTAGACGCACAAAATTTTAGAGCCAGAAGGAGATTTGGAGATGGTCCAGCAGTTCCTCTCAATTTTATAGGTGAAAAAAACTGAAGCCGAGGGCAGGTTAGGAACATTTTAGCAAGTGAGCGAATGAGTGAGTTACAAAGCTGGCATCCTTCAGTCTTGGCCCAAGACCTCACCTGGCTAAACTGTTCCAGAAATCTTGCCTGAACACTTTTTTTTTTTTTTTTTTTTTTGGTAGTAGAAGAATGTATGCCCTTTTAGAAATCAGTTTTAAGGTCTCTTAGTGGTGGGTCATCCTACCGTGTGGTAGGTCATCCTTAACTGGGGGTTGGTTTTGCTAAAGACACTCAGCAGAAGAGAAAACCACAGAATGTTCTTCCTAAGAAACATCTAGACAGCACCCACGAGGCACACACATGGTGTTCCCCAACTCTCTTTTTCACTGATAGCCTGTAAATTACTCCCCTATTGGAAAAATAAGGTCTTCAGGCTGGTCACAGCGTTGTGCTGATGCACATTCACAACAGTGACAACTTTCTAGTGGCTTCTGCCATGCATGAAAAGAGATGCAAACGGAACGCAGGAATGTTAGAGAAAATAAAGGCATCACTGCTGATTAGCTGGGACTGATCAGAGATGGATTACCAAGACCAGTTCGGCTGTAGAGACCCCCACCCAGGCGATGCTGAAGGCATTAAGAAGCAGACACCCAGATAGAACAGCAAAGTGGGACTATCCGGGGGCCAACAGCCTTCTGAGCTAGAACCTCAGGGGCTGACAGCATTCCAGGCTGAGGGCCTCAAGCACATTCTGACTCATGTAGTTAGTCTCTCTGAACAGGTGATTATTATTAACAAACAGGTGTTCTGTGTTTTCTCATAAAACCAAGATAAACCAGGTAGGCAGCTGATGCCTGCTTACCACTGATCACAGACAGACTAAAAACTATTCTCCACAAGAGAGCCCTGGGGGCAGGGTCACATATCCCAGGCTTAAAAAATTGTTTTAACTGGTGTGTGATATACATCTGCTGTCTTGCCACTTTAGAATGCCCCAAGTAGTTTTCCACTTGGGGGGTGGGCAGCTAGGTTTTCCTTGCCATTGTTTTTCTTAGCAAACAATGTATTTTATCATACACTCAGCATTTCTCAACAATGAATTACTTTACGTGAGGCATGTAAGGAAACCTCTTGTAAATACTTTTATTATGTTTTTAGGAAGGAAGAAAGAGGGAAGAGAAAAGAAAAAGGAAGGAAAAGGGAGAGAGGAGAAGGAGAGAGGGAAGGAGAAAGGGAGCAGGGATTTAACTGCACTACAGGTAACATACCTTCTCCAAAGTCTCCTGTGTGGACCAGAGGGACCATTGGTGGCAGCTCCCTTAACCACAGTCCAGAACTTTCAGTATTAAAACCTTATCCCATACCTCTCAAGGCTGTATATCTACCGCAGGTCCTTCATCTGAAAGTTAGACACCTATAGCTAGCTACAGATCACCTATGAGATGTGATCATATTGAACCTCAACAAATTCAGGACTTACCCCATCATCTTACCCACTCCCCCAGCCAGTTCCTTTGCTTGAGCTTCTTAGTGAGTTGCATCGCAGTCCTCCAAATGGACGAGCTCAGAGCTCTTGTAATTATCCCCACTTCTGTCTTCCGTCCCACTCCAGCCACTATCTAGGCC